TGGGCGGACGTGCGGAGGGCAGTGAACTTGGCGGGCGGGGCTGCGCTCTGGAAAGGCCCGGACTCTGCTCCTACTCCCACCCCTCCCCCTGCCCACCGGCGCCCGCGTCCCTGACACTCCCGCCTCGCGAGCGCTAGAGGGCGCCCTGTGGGCCTCCTCCCTCCTGGCGCCCTGAGCCCCGCCCCCAGGTGTCCTGCCATCCTGGGCCCCAAGTCACTTGGCGGGTGAAGGTGGTGATGGTGACCCAATGATCCTACCTGCTGTCACCACGGCTGGGCAAAGAGGCCCCCAGAGATGCTGCCTTGTCCACGAGGCCCCTGGGAAAGGTGCCCTGAACATCTGCGTCCTTGTCTCCGACAGGAATTGTTTCAAAAGTGCCATCCCGTCCACTTCTTAAACTCCCGGGCCCTGGGCGTCATGGACAAAAGCGTGGCCATCCCCAAGTGAGTGTGCACCTGCGGGGCGTCACCCCAGAGCTCTGGGACAGACAGATGGCTGGTGGCAGGGGCTTGGGGGCTTCCCCTGAGTGTCTCGTGGACACTCTTGGCCAAAGGGAGACGCCGATGTCACAAACGTCCTCGGAGCCAGACGCTCCCCGCTCCGCAGAGCCCATCCTGCTGGCCCCACCCGGGGCCAGAGAGCCCCCTGCGGCCCCCCGGGGCCCGGACAGGGCCGCGGCCGCACGTCCTCACCGGCACGCACACGCCTGTCTCTTCCAGGGCCAGCTCCTCCGAGCCTCCGACCGCCAAGACGTGCAGCTTGTTTCTGCCCAACTACGTCCAGGACAAGTACCTGCTGCAGCTTCTGAGAAGTGCGGACGACGTCAGCACCTGGGTGGCCGCTGAAATCGTGACCAGCCACACCTCCAAGGTGGGTGCCCGTCTCACAGGAGGGCCAGGGTGTAGCCGCAGGGGCGCGGCCTCTCGCGGGGGGCCCCAGTCGTCCCTTCTCCGTGCACGGGCAGCCTCAGACTCCGCCCGAGCAAGGGTGAGAGCCATGTCACAGCCTCTGTCGACGGCATCAGGCACACCACCCGGCTCGCCTGCCGGGCACCGTCTGTCACACCCCGACCCTAACACCGCAAATGCGCACCGGCTCTGAGCGCCGTGGCAGCCCCTCGTCTGTGCAACTTCCACACGTGTGCCTGTGCACACCTACAGTGTCACATGTGCACGTGTAGTCTTACACAGATGCACTCTCTCACACACATACCCCCTCACACACTCACAGCCACGTGATCATTCCCTCACACACACTCACACACTCACACTCCCTCTCACACTCACATACGCAGCCGCAGGGCTGGGAATTGTGACTCCCGGCCTTCCCGCTAACCTGAACTTTTCGAGGGTGGGGACCAGCTTGGTTCCTGTCACAGCCCTGCAGCCAGTACGGTGCGTGTTCTCAGCAGGTTCGTGGGATAAACAAAACGGGTCAGCGGTCCAGTCAAGGCGAAGGTCTTGCCGTTCTAGGGCCCCTTCTACGCCCCGCCGGCCTTCCCCCTGACGGCCAGTCTCTCAGCCTGAACTAACCCACCTGCTTCCGGCAGTGCACCAGGCAGGCCAGGAGGGACAGTCACCTGCCTCAGAGCCGGCGCCTCCCTCCGGGTTCCCACTCACTCACGAGGGGCTGGGGGAGGACGGAGTCCCCGGGCCCCGGTGCGTCCCGAAGGCCTCCGCTTTCCTGCCACCTGAGGCCAGCCCCGGCACGGGGCATCACCGAGTCCTGCCCACTTGAACTGCCACACTGGCATGCTGAGGAATGAGGTTGGGACCACAAGGGCTCCTCCCGTGGGCGGATTCCCACCACTTCGCAGGCGGCAGCAACCTGAGGGCAAACTCTGGCCCAGACATAGGGCTCCTCCTGCGAGATCCCCATCACCGCTGCCCCTGGGCTGAGCGTGACAGGGGAGCTCAGGGGTGGGGGACGCCATCGTTCTGCCCCCGGAGCCGCCCCCAAGCCCACAGGGGCCACCACCCCCCATCACATGGCAAAGCACAGAAAAGTCTGTTCCAGCACCTGTCTGCGATTTCTTTTCTTTTTTTAATATTTCTCTGCGTCCCCCTGACCCCAAAACCCACAGGGCAACCCAAGACCCATTAGCAAGTGCAGAGTTCTCTACATTTTCCCCTTAGGGGAGAATTTTCGCACTTTAGAGATTTATTAGCCCTCACTTCTCCAAGATGTGGGAACAGGGAGCCTGGGCTTACCCGGTTTGTTCTAATCCACGACGTTACAAATACCGTGACATCGGAACGTAGCTTCCCTAAACCAGGTCTTCAAACAGGGGCCTGTGTGGTTAGTCCTCACGAGGACTTCCAAGGACAGGTCCAAGGACAATCCACAGCCACACCACGGCCCTCCCAGGATTATCCCTATGTGAGTCCCCAAAAAGAGGGACGAAGGCCCCCTCCCAGCCTGAGAGGCAAGGTGAGCTTGCTGTCCCGAATCTGCGGGTGCCTGCCCAGCAGGCCCACACGGAGCGGCACGACACCTTTGCAGGCACGACACCTTTGCAGGCCCGGCGGTCAGCATGATGGAGCGGATCTCTGGGAGCACACCCGGGCACCCAGCCTGGAAGGACAGTAGGGACCATGGTGTCACTGGGGCAGAACGCCTCCTGTTGTCGCGAACGGGCCCTGTGTCCCCACAAGCAAAAGACAGAATCATTCAAATGGGCAGTACTCAGCCGCATGCAGGAACCACCGGGGCCAAGAGCCTGTGCGGCACGTGTTTCCAAGGAAACTGCACGCGAACCTTCAACAAAAGTGTTTGTCACGTTCCGACGTATGCATTGTTTCACGTGTTGTGTGTTATTTACCGTAATGTCAGAACAATCCAGAAGACCGGCTTCTCCATTTGTCAACTGTGGTCACAGAAAACTGTCAGCATTCAAATTCTGAGGCAGAGAATGCAGCGGGGCCCTGGGGACAGCATACATCCCACGCACGTGACGCGCTGGGGAAAACGGAATGAAGTACGAGGTGAAGAACGGGAAACGGTGTGGAGTTTGTCACCTTCAAGGAAAACTTGTTGACTTTTTCTAGGTGAATAATGGTGGGTTTGAAGGCAAAACCGCATTTCGACTTCTTCGGGTAATTTTCCAAGTGATAGAATACAACAGCCAAGAGAAAGAAACAACCCAAAGGTCCATCCACGGACAAGTGGGTAGACAAAATGTGGCCTGTCCACGCTATGGAATAGTATTCAGCCTTAAAAGGGAATAAAGTCGGGGTGCCTGGGTGGCTCAGTCGGGTAAGTGTCCAACTTCGGCTCAGGTCATGATCTTGTGGTTCACAAGTTCGAGCCCCGCGTCAGGCTCTGTGCTGACAGCTCAGAGCCTGGAGCCTGCTTCGGATTCTGTGTCTCCCTCTCTCTCTGACCCTCCCCCATTCATGCTCTGTCTCTCTCTGTCTCAAAAATAAATAAACATTAAAAAAAAAAAGGATTAAAGTCATGATACAGGCTCTGGCGTGGCTGAGCCTGGAGCACGTCATGCTCAGGGAATAAGCCAGTTCCAGAAAGACAAATGCTGTGATTCCGCTCTAGGAGATCTCTGGGGGTGTTCCAGCCACACAGACAGAAGGTAGACAGGTGGGGGCAGGAGATGGGGGTAGCTGTTTGACAGTTGTGGCCTCAGTTTTACCAGAAGAAAGCTCTAGAGATCTGTGACACAACCCAGTGTCACTAACGCTGCGGAGCTCTATTAAGAGTGCTTACAAGAGTAAATTTTCTACTGCATATTTTTTACCACATTTTTTTAAAAACAAAAATGTGATGGAACAGTTTTATCTGAAAGTGCTGGAAATGACATGCTTCACATCTATTTAAACACTTACTTATTTTTGAGAGAGAGCACACGCAAGCAGGGAAGGGGCAGAGAGAGAATCCCAAGCAGACTCCGTGTTGTCAGAGCAGAGTCTGGCACCGAGCTCAATCCCACAAATCTGAGCCGAAATCAAGAGTTGGACACAACTGACGGAACCACCCAGGCACCCCTATTTTGCATCTGTTTAAATATATGAAGAAAAAAGTGGGATGTCAACTTAAAAAGTATGAGCGAGTAAATGTTTTCCAAGACTCTTTAAGAAGCACTCAGGCCAGACAGCTGGGAGGCCACCATGGTGGATGAGCTCCAGGGGCCCATCTGTGTGACCTTCGATGGCATCAGAATCACCGCAGACAAGGTCAAGTCCAGTGGAAAGACATGTGGTTGGGACCCACAGGCAGGCAACTGTTCCCGCCTGAAGGATGGCCCTGGCCCTGGTGACAGTTTATAGGGTGAGGCAGCTCTGAAATGAGGGGTCAGCTGAATTCTCTAGAATCTTCTAGAAGCCTCTGGAAGTGTGTGAAATCCAAGTGTGTGAAATCCAAGTGGGTCCATGAACCCAGGACCTCAGGCCTCTGAAATGGCACACGCGGTTAGGAATGAGAATCCCACCGGGTGTTCCTATCAAATCTGGTGAATTTGCCAAATCTGCTGACTGGCCACCCGCAGAGGAGCAGTGGGGCCCGTGGACCCACCCCCTGGTCAGGCGCTGAAGCCCTTCCTACAGTGGAGTCTCGCCAGGCAGATGAGAAGCTGCTCTTGGCCACGAGATGCATCGGCTCCGGGGTGCCCTTCTGGGTCCTAAAGCTGTGCCCCCTGCCCCGTGTGTCTCACTCCTAGAGCAGAGGTTTGTCCTGGGAGAGATTTTGCTTTGGAGAAGGGAGGCTGACTTCTTTTCACATCTTCATGCCTACTGGGTGCTTGCCTTTTCGTTTTATGTTTCCGAGTCATGAGCGTCCTCCTGCCCCTCACAGCCATCCTCTGAGACCTGAGCCCACCTGCCTCCTCCCCACACGGGTGGTGGGCCTCCTGTCCTGTGTGCCCTGGTGCTGGGTTACTCTAACGGGTCCTCAGATGCTGTCTACCGGCTCGTCTTAACCCGGAACACACCGAATGTGTCATTTTCTGGTTTCAGTTGCAGGTGAATTTACTGTCCAAATTTTTGCTGATCGCGAAGTCTTGCTACGAGCAAAGGAACTTTGCGACAGCCATGCAGATCCTGGGCGGCCTGGAGCACCTCGCAGTGAGGCAGTCCCCCGTGAGTCACCTCCGGGGGCGCTGGCCAGGAGCGGGCGTGTGGGCACCGGCTCGGCCACGGGGGTTCACTGTGCTTTTCTTTTAGGCCTGGAGAATCCTACCCGCGAAGATAGCAGAGGTCATGGAAGAGCTGAAAGCCGTGGAGGTACTGGTGCTGTGCCTGAGCTTCTGGCGGCTTCTGTCCACCTGGGGCTTCCCCTAAGGACGCACCGCGTGCACCTCCGCGGGGCTCACCGGGCAGAGTCTGCGTCGTGGCGCCCGGGCCACACGGCCCCCTCGGAGTCGTGCGTGGAGCAGCCCGGCCAGCCTGGTCTTGCACGCCTCCCCGTGAGGCCTCTGCCACTCAGCTGGGCAGAGACCGAGGGGCCAGTGCCCAGGGTACAGGTGCCCAGAGGACCAGACTGAGCCGAGCTGGCCCTCTGGCCTCGGTGCTTCTCCCCAAGTACAGAGGCACCTGCCTCATGAGATCAGAAACGAGGAAGCGCTGGAACGGTGGGCATTTCCCCGGATGCGGCAGCAGGAGCAGAGGCCCCGCGGCCCCCACCCCGGGCCCGGCCCCCTGCAGGGCGGGAGGGCTGCTGCGTGTCCTCGGTTGACGCCGGAAACAGGTCCCTGAAGCCGGCCGGCCTGGGTCTTATTGTCACTTGGGCAGCTGGGTCACCTGGCTGTTTTCTGGAGCCCGGCAGAGAGTAGGTTAGGAAAAGATGGCGGGATGCGTGCGGCTTTCTGCTGGATGTCCGGGTCCCCCGTGTCTGCCAGTCTCAGACATCCGCACCGCCGACCCCCGTCCAGTCATCCCAGGCACGCTTTGGATTGGATGGAAATCAGTGCTGTGCAGCCCCATGCAGGGCATTGGCTGAGCTGAGGGCCCTGGACTGACTCTCACCTGTCTCCCCCTGCCCACGCCCCCGGCTGGGCCCCCAGGTCTTCCTGAAGAGCGACAGCCTGTGTCTTATGGAAGGACGGCGCTTCCGGGCCCAGCCCACTCTGCCCTCGGCGCGCCTCCTGGCCATGCACATCCAGCAGCTGGAGACGGGGGGCTTCACCATGACTAACGGGGCCCACAGATGGAGCAAGCTCAGGTGAGGGCCTTGCTCCCCACGGCCCCATGGGCCCCTCGCGCTAGAGCTGTCTACACAGCCCGCTCCTGCGGGGCCGTGGTTCCCCTGCCCGACACCCCTGGGCGCTCGGCATGCCTGGGAGGTACAGACCGGGGGCCGCCTGTGAAAGCCACCGCGGCGGTCCCAGCCAAAGCGGGCCATTGCTCATTTCTGCCTCGGAGGATGCGAGCGTGCCCGGAGAAGCCCGGCCTCCAGCCCACCTCTCCTGGGAGCTCCAGGCCTGCTCCGAGACGCCCCCGCATGTCTCAGGACCAGGCCAGCCCTTCTCCAGTGGGCCTGCACCCACCCCCCCCACACACAACCCCCCAGCCTCGCACCCACCCTGCTCTCCTCCCGTCTCTTCTCCACACCAGCCACGTGCACAGTCAGGTGGAAGCTGGTCAGACCACAGTCCAGCTGCACTCAGGGTGGAGGGCTGGCCTCAGCAGGCACGGCCCAGGGGCCTTGGAGCCCAGCGGTTCCAACCTGCTATGTGCAAGGCCTCCTTTCGGTCACCAACTTAAAAAGTGCTTAAGAGACACCACAGTGCACGTTAATCCGTGTCAGCAGAATGGCAGGCCACGATCCAGAAGGCACAGGGGATGAGACCTAATGAGGCCTCTTCTTAACTCTATTGTACGTCTGGATCCAAGAGCCTGGTCCCCCACACTGGACCATCTCCGTCCAAAGTCGCGATGGGAAGACGTGTGTGGAGCCCACGGCTTCCCCCCTTCCTGGACGACCCCCACCCCCACCTCCGGGGCTGTGTGGCCTCTGTTTAACTTGCAGCTCTGAGGGGAGGCAAGCCCCGCTCCACAGTGTCAGCCAAGCCCCAGGGTGTAAATGCCCCCACGGTGGTGGCTCTTGAGCTGTCAGGTGATGTCCCTGAACACAGAGCTGGGGGGAGCATGTGCCCAGTGGCCCCTGCATCTCCCTACCTCACGTTTCTCCTCTGCGGGCCCTGGATGGCTGACACGGGGGTCTATTCACATCGGAACCCTCAGCACTGACCAGACCCGACACAGACGTTCAGTAAATGTTTGTGGGACGAAAAGTGGACGGGTGGACAGAGGGACGGATGGGAGCGCGGGTAGACAAACAGGCCTGAGTAACGAAACGAGGTTTGGCCGTCAGAATAAATACGGAAACTCACCCAGAGCTGATACCAGAAGAGGTTTGGGTTAGACGTTTCCGGTGACGCGCCGGGAACTCCCAAGCCACGGCCTCGTGCGAACTAACGGTTCGCTTCTCCCCAACACAGGAACATAGCCAAGGTGGTGAGTCAGGTCCACGCGTTCCAGGAGAACCCCTACACGTTTGCCCCCGACCACAAGCTGCAGTCCTACCTCAAGCAAAGAATCGCCCGCTTTAGCGGGGCTGACATCTCCACATTGGCGGCCGACAACAGGGCCTCCTTCCACCAGATCACCAGCGAGAAGCACTCCCGCAAGATCCAGGACAAGTTACGGAGAATGAAAGCCACGTTCCAGTAACGGGACAGTGGATGTGATGAGAATGCCAAATCGGGGACAGGACTGGGGCAGAAAAGAGCCGCCCGCTTGCCGTCCAGGCCCAGGAAGTCCGTGCAGCCCAGCGTCTGCTGCCCCGGACGGGGGACCCCCAGTGCAGGAGCCAGGGCCCAGCCGGGGCGTTGGGGTGCATGCCCGGGGGGCTCTGGGGGGTGGAGGCTCGAGGGCCTTGCCGAGAGGGAGAGGATGGGGGCTCTGGTGGAGGTTGGGGTATTGCTGCTAGTTTAAAACTATATTTTAAAATTAACACAAAAATAGAATAAGTAAACTCCCCAGGAGCCACATACCCATTTATACTTCTTAGAGATAAACCGCTCTCTGCCAACTCTCCAGGGATCCCGCCCCCCCAAAACCCCACAGCCACCCACCCTGACTCAGAGCATTGTTTTC